TAACATAGAACCAGCAGCCGTTCCTCGTTTTCTGAGCGACAGGAATCTAGTTCGAAAGGACCATCCAGATGCGCCTCACTCGAAGTCAGTCGTCCTACTCTATCATTCATATCTCCTGCTAAAATCACGATATCAGCCCGATTTACCTTACGCAAGAGGTCGTTAAGCTTTTGGTATCTTTGTATCTGGGCTACAATTCGTAGGTGCGTACGCTGAGACGACAAACAAGTCGAAGCGACGGCTATTTACTTTGCATGAGCCTCTAAGTCTCACTGCGCATAACCTACTGTCGACTGGGATCCAATCCAGGAGCGCAGTTTCAGTTCTCACTGCGAGCCACACCAACGCCAGCAAGACCAGAATCCGCAGCTTCAGGGTCCCANCAAGAAAGAAACTTCGCTGATGGGTTTGACGGGGACGTCAATCGGATGGCCGAGCTAGAGTCTTGAGTTATTGATTAAGCTGAAATTCCTTGCTCGCATTGTGGACTTGGTCGTTCAGTCCAGAATGAGCCTTGTTCGAGGATGCACTCTAGCCTTTACGCAACCAAGCGCGAGCTGCAAGGCAGCAGCATTGTTCCAGATAAGCCGGTGACCGGTCGGTTGGTTCATTCGCCTTCTCTGTCGGGTTGATTTAATTCGACAAGGGGGCAATGACCGTATTCGGTGGCGGGCCACACTCACCACGTCACAGCGCTGTGATAAGATACATGTGGTGTTTTGTGGAGAATCCTTGCCAAGTGTTAAACCCACCACATCCTCGAGCACTGCCGCTGATCGTCCGCGACCGCTTATTCAGTGAGAATAAACCCACCTTATTCCCAGTTGACCTCCAGTTATCGGCCGTTCTCTTATCCGCAACCCGGGGACGCGCTCGGTAGCATACATCTCCTATTTTGCCGAGTATTTATGGTCTGGATTGAGACAAATGTGTAATATAATTCACATCATATTTTAGACTTCATTACGCAGTCATTGTTTTCAACGGGAAGGTGTTGTGATGTTGAGTGGTTGAGTTTTTCTGTTGGAGTCTCATTTTTATTCAGGCGCACGTTTCTGGTCTTGGGACTGTGGCAGGGGTTCTCAAACTGAAAGGGTCGTTGATCTCCACGAAGATTCTCTCAAATTCTGAAGCTAATACACAGACGGGTCATGTTAGAATGCTACGTAAATTCTTGGGAATCGAATGAGGTTTTACCCTAATCAACCAGAATCCTTTTATCCGGTAATCTGTAATTATGATACGTGTGTTGAATATATGATTTTTATGGAATACTCAATCTCGCAAACCTTGTGTCGTATTTTTTATTTTGATCAGGACACGAATGAAACCGAGAATACTTTTCCACTGTGCCTATTTATCGTTACTCTGGCTGTTTTACTGCAAAGCTGAGCCGAGTGTTTACGGGATCCTTCCGCATGAATACTCATCAGTTACAGACAATGTGTTCACTGTGCAAGCCCATCGACCGATCATTGTCACCTTGTTCGGGACCGGTATGCGCGAAATCACACACATAGGCTTTGCTGCTCAAAACAAGACTGCTCATAGCAATTGTGAACACGATCGTGTAACGTCTTCATTCAAAGTCGCCGCTGAAAACGATTTTGTTGCCAATAGTGTCATTACTCTGAGGGAACTTGGAAAAAATGAACCCGCCTTTTATCTGTGCATACGAACTATTCCGTCGATATCGGCTTCTACTGCATCGGAGGAAACTCCACAAAATGAAACGGTACCGGTCGAACTTTGGTTTTATGCCGGTAATGGTGGTTCCGAAAGACGCCTTGCATTCCACACCACAGGGACCTTGATGCCCATGTGGGTTCAGATTATTCTAATTATTGTGCTGTTTTTCCTGTCCGGATTGTTCAGTGGCCTTAATTTAGGTCTCATGTCTTTGGATAAAACAGAGCTAAAAATCATCGAAAGTGCCGGGGCTCCTAACGAGAAGAATTACGCAAAAGCCATACGACCTGTTCGGGAAAAAGGAAATTTGTTGCTGTGTACACTTCTGCTTGGCAATGTTTTGGTGAACACCTCTCTGACCATTCTGATGGATGATCTTACGGGTAGCGGTTTATTTGCCGTGATAGGATCAACCATTGGTATCACAGTTTTTGGAGAGATTATGCCCCAGGCGGTTTGTTCACGTCACGGATTGGCAATCGGAGCCAAGACTCTGTGGCTAACTAAGCTGTTCATGCTCATTACATTCCCGGTGGCATTCCCTGTCAGTTTTCTTTTGGACAAAATTTTGGGTGAAGAAATGGGTCAAGTTTATAGTCGAGAAAAGCTTGGAGTACTTATACGCGAACAGGTGAGTGCAAATTATTCTTACTAGACTGCTTTCTTTATTTGAATTTTCCTGAAGCAGTAAATTCGATCCACTAGACCTCCTTAAGTGTTGTGGTTATTAAGGAAAGTTCTTATCGGGCACCCAGTGTGTCCTGTTGGGCGAAAACCTCATTTCTTTGAGGAAAGCAATAATCTTTATCCGCGAAAGCCACATCTGGGTAAATGGAATAGGGGATTGGAAACTCAATATCAAACTGTGTTGAAACAGTGTTGGAAGAGGTGACATGTAGATGAAGCCGATTCTGTTAATTGTGTAACGCCATAGATTGGACGATTAGTGGGAGCTTGTAGCGCAATTGCTGCAGACGAATCGGAAAACAATGCCTTAATGATGGGCTTTAATCGACCAAAAACGAGGTATGAGAGCTAAAAAGAGACAAACAAAATGCTGGAATATAAACCCAGAATAGCAGCTATTTATGCAACAGAAAAAAGTATTAAATCTATAACATTCACCATCACTTAGAAAACGAAGGGTAGTCTGAAGTTTGTTTCGGGTATCCCAAGGGCTGTGAATGGGAACTGTTCACATTAATTAGTCGAGAGTGCGTTACTAAACCTCACTGTTTCGAAGGCAGTAACATATTCAATTCCTAAGACAGAATGGCAGTTCCTTGATTGGCATGTAGCCCTTACGGCATGCCAAATATGGAAAACAATTCAGTTAAACGAGAATTCCTGGTGCGAGCAGTCACATCGGGACACGGGAAGGCAAACGGCAAACGGGTATACTCATCGGTGATTGCCAAGATGTAGTGATTCTGAATGGAGGAGGTAATCAGTCCTGTGAAATCAGTGCTGAGGCGTTCAAAATTTTCTTTAGCTTTAACAAAGGGACTATTACATGGCCTATGAAACTTGGGTTTAAGGCGTGCGCAACCAGGACATTGTTGACTTATCACCTTGACATTATCGAAAGAAAAGGGTAGGTTTTTGGTGCGGACAAAGTGGTACAGACCTGTGATACCGGGGTGGCACCGACTGTCGTGAAGTCGCTTCAGTTCATCGATTGAGTGAGTGCTTGCACAGATTGCTCGTGACAGGGCATCGCCTACAGGATTCTCCTAACCGGGATGGTATATCACATCATAGGAGAATTGAGAAAGTTCGGTACGCCAGCGTTGTATTTTGTCGTTGCTAATTTTTCTGCTCACTTTCATGTCCTACATAAAGGCGACGGAGCGTTGATCTGTATCCAGTTCTAAATGGGCACCCATCAGAGAATGTCGCCACTTACGAATGGCTTCATCTGTTGCGTACGCTTTTTTCCGATGGCAGACGAACCAGAAGACAACGCCTTAATGGTAGGATTTAATCAATCAAAAACGAGACACGAAAGCTAAAACGGAACAAGCAAATTGTTAGAATATGCATCCAGAATAACAGCTATTGATGTTCTTCAAAAATAAGCATTGTCGACCAGTATTGAATCAGCTGAGCACGATATGGGTAGATGCCAGTCTGAACTGACGCCAGAGAATCAAGGCAATTGGTGAAGCGGAAAGCATTACAACAGAGCATAAACTATGTCAGTAACGGTGAAACTAAAACGCATAACTGACCAACCGGTGATGGAATAAGGACTTCAACTTGAAAGTGAAAGATAGATCGTCTATCAATCGAACGGATTAACGATGGATTAAATCAACTTATCTCGGTGGGAATTAGTAATCTTGCTTTACACATTCTCGTCTACGATTGTGACAGGTGGGGAAATGAAGGTGCACGATGATATTATTGTATTTTGTCTCTATTAAGTCCACAGACCGCAGCTGTGCTTAGATTCAACACGAATGTTCGATCTAGTAAGAGGAGAATTAGGTTTCTTATTCCACTCGCTGTGCCCATCGTTTGCACATTTCTTGCTAATATAATAATTTGCCCTTTTTGAGACATCCAAGGTAGTTGTCCGCAACACACGTGGTACAATACCCTATATACCTTTATCCAGAGTGAAACTCGTTATCCTGCTCGCAGTTTAGATCGTGTCATGGCAGGGTTCCACTTAGAAAATAAATTTTTCACCATGTCAAAGTACCTAGGTTCCGTTTATACAGCAATCAATCTTGACATTCTGTGGTCAGTTCTCGGACGTTATCTTTCATCTTCTGGTCCGTTAATGAGGGTCACTAAACTAGGGTATATCATACGGGGAACTTAGATCCGTAAATGAAGTAAATAGGTGCAAGAGCATCACTAACGACGGTATTCAGTCATGTCTTCCGGTGAATTTAGCGTGATTTACGTTCTGGATTTGCGTGTTTCCATGACATAATGTTCTCTATGTTATACGGGTGTTCTGTCAAATGATATTATTAGAACAAACAGTGCTGACATGTTGCGCAGCGTCGCTCATCAAATTGAACCGATGGGAGAATTCACAGATTTTCTTGTTTCTGAGTCATTACGTAAAAT